AAATTTGCAAACTCTGGTGCCAAATTAAAATATTGCTTATTGTACCCTGTTGGGGCTGGGTATGATGCTGCTGATGCCCATTGACTTTGTACTAATTCAGCAAACATACGAGGGACAGGGATAGTTTCTGCCTCATTAGCTGATTGTGAGAATATTAGGTCCTCGGATTCATCCTGAGACCCTGTAGGCAATGGATGAGGTTCTGATGTGCTTAGTTTAGCGGTGTTCTTTGTCTTGAATAGTAAAGATTTAAAGAGGTGCGGGCGAAAAAGGCCAGAAAAACCAGGTTGGTCCGGAATGAGGCCTTCGTCATCCAACATTCCCCGTTCTAGTGGGTCAGCCTCTGACAGCCCCAAGTCCATCTGATGGATTGACCCCCCTTCCATAGAAACCTCCTGGTCCTCAAAATCCACTTCCTCCTGGAGGCCCTGGGCTGATAAGTTAGAAATACTGGGGAATACCTGAGATTGATGTTGTTGGGTATGCTCAAAGGATCGAGCAGCCAGGGATCCCACATCCGAAGCAGTCGATAAATGTCTGGTCCGGATGGATTGCTGAAGTCCAGCCGCAATGTCCCTTTGAATCGCCATCTCCATCCACTGCCTCATTTCAATGGGCATAGTCTCAGGTAATCCCTCCTCCTGTCTTAGGCCAGCGGCCGTAGGTGTGAAGGTTGCCTCTGGAGTTGGCTGGGCAGTGCTCAATGGGGGAGATGTGACTATAGGGGGTTGACCAGAAACAGGCTGTCTGGGCTGGGTAGATAAGTCCAAGGGCCCCATCAATGGGTTTGGGTTCTGATCAGATTGCTGTGTCATAACCATCTTGTCCGCCTCCCTGGCGCATTTTTGCAAATGCCTTTCCAAAGCTAGGTGCCGTCTATGGGCATCCTTATCTGCCGCCTTAGAGACCTTTTGGGGGCCCACTGGCTTGTCTCGGGACTTACTGGGCCTGGAGCGGAAAGCGTTGTCACGTTCCATTGTGTATGATGGATTGTCTGCCTCTGAATGTAAATTTGATTTTTAATTTTTTAAAAAATTATTATGATTATTATTAATATTGTGGTTGATATTTGAAAATCTATAGGTAGAACAGTCTAAAAGGTGAACAGTATCTAAGGGTCCCCAGCAAGGGAAACCCCCAAGTGCTTCAAGTGAGAGAAAAACTCCGGATCTCTGGTCCCCAGCAAGGGAAACCAGCTATTACAGGCTCTGATATGCCTCCTTGCCTGTCAGAAATAAATGTTCTGCAATATAAATGTCACTTGCCCTTTGTGTCTGAATAAAAGATCCAAAGGCAATTGCAAAGAAATGCCTGTTTAATGAGCAGCCGGTTAATGTAACGTTAGCCAGAGGAATAGGTAAATTCAGGGAAGGCACAATGGAAAGTTAATGTCTCGGTCCCCAGCAAGGGAAACCAGCGAGAAATGGAGGCTGTGGCAATTAGGTGTGAAATTGAGGCAGCCGTTGAAAAGGGCGGGAAGCAGAATCACCGTTGCTACTGTTAGGGATATACCCTAGCAGATTCTGCACAGGGCAGTCAGGCAGGCAGGCAAAATATGTGAGATAAGTGTTGTGTAGCTTACACTCAGTAAAAGCAGATACAGTGCCAATTAAAGTAGTTTTATTCCAGCAAGAGTTTAAGCATAGTCAAAAACAGTCCATATATCGTACACTTATTTCAGTCCGTCCAGGGATTATCCAGTTGCAAAATTCCAATGTCAGAAATGAGAGGTCGGTACACTTACAAAATAACAGTCCGGTAATTTATCTCTTCACAGTAAAAAGAGATATGCAACAAACTCAACTCAAGTTCTTCCGTCTGCAACTCCAGTAATTGCCAGCAAAGCGTCTGGGAATCGTCAGCAATCAATCAGCGTCTCTTGCTGCCTCTTATGGTGTTTTCACACCACACCCAAAATACATGCTCAGCATTTAAAGTAACACACACTTTAAACTAAGAATCATAGCTTATATATTATTTTATCTTACCCAAACTAGTTAGGTGACCAATGTTATACCTAACAGCTACTGACTGAGCTGTCAAATGAGCCGCTACTGCAGAGGTTCCCACTCACGATCTAAATGCTGCCGAGGCTCTAACTTGAGATCTAAATGGGCTGTCAGGCGAAACGGCAAGGGAAAGTGAGCCGCGGCTGTGAGCGCTCTGCTCCGATCACAAAGAAAGTGATCAGAATGTTAGATAAGGAGTTGCCTGAGGCAGAAGCCTCAAGCTGCCTGCGGAGTGGCAGGCTCCGCTATTTGAAAAGGGAAACTGTTTTTGAACTGAGCTAGTTAACCTAATAAAGGGACAAGCCTGACAAATCCAAATTAAATGGGAAAGAATTTTAAACGCCAAAATACCACAAGAGCAAACCTAAATCAGAAAAAACAACTGTTCCAGTCAGGGAGTGCACCACCTCTTACCATGAAGGCTGAGCTAAAACTGGGGGACGCTGAGGAGGTGTCCCATGGAGGAGGAGGAGCGTCCCGGAGTTTTAAGCCCAGCCTTTCCATAAGAGACTGAAGCACCTCCCAATTCTGGATGCTCTGAACAGCTCATGGGAGAAACAGTGGCTTTGATAACAAATATTTACAATATTTTCCATCAGTACTTGGATTTTCATTACATTCAAACTTTAATGTCATTGCTACAGCCAACATCAGGACCGAAATTGCATGCATATGCTAACCTTCTTAATTGCAAAGAATTAATGTCTATGTCCACAAGCTTAGGCATTGGAGAATTGTCTTCATAATCTGACACATTCAAAATGATTCTACTATTAAGCATATCCATTTCCCAAGTTCTATTTTGTGGGCCTTCTTCAACACGTGCTTGTGCCTATAAATCACATGTTGCTATGCTTTCAGTATTTAACCTATAACCCTCACTCAATAAGCCAAGGGGATGATTTTTTTTTCTTTTCACTTTCTAGTACTGTATTTCTGAATGCTGATATTAACTGGCCCATGCTCTGCTTCCTGAGCTAAGAGTTCTTTCCTCTTTCACAGGGAATGCTAAATTGTAGTCTTCCGGTATAGCTGATGGTTTTACAATTGTAATAGTCTCTTCATTAGCCACTGCTTGCCTTTCTTCATTTCTCACATCACTGTCAATTATACAAATACTGTAGAATTCATCCTGGGCATTATTATGATGTCCATATCAAAACATAAAGAGGTCAAAGCTGCTATTTCCCTATCCATTCTACTTGAAATTGTATCATTATCTCCAACAGTCTCCATTTCAGCTTGTGGCAAGAAATGCTGACTCATTACACCATATGTATAGGTAGTTCTTGACTTACAGCAGTTCATTTAGTGCCATTCATTGAGAAGTGAAGAAGCTTCTTGGATGAGAAATGAAACATCTTTAAGGAAAAACAAAGGAAGACTGGTTGTCTTTTGAAAAAAAGCACCTTTGGGACAACCATGACCTGGATGACTGAGAATCTCTATAAACATTCTGAACCAAACATTTTTAAAAACTTTGTATACACCCCTATATCAGGGCCATGTCTGTATTTGGCAATATATAATTAATACAATTAAATTATTTATCTTAAATAGGCAAATGAACAATGTCCACCAATTCAGAAACCAATAAAAATGATTCAGGGTATATTTATGAAATTTAGGTCTACTGACACCAGTATGAAAATCTAATCACAACTGAAATCCTCTTTAATTTCTGTGGCTGTCAAACGCAACCCTTTCCTTTTACCAGTACTAGTTATAAAAAGAACGCTTTCTATTGTTAACAGCAATTTAGATAATCTCTGATATGGCTTTAGTAACAATTTAGATGCCTGAGAATACACTTCAAGTTGATTTCAAAAAATTTCAAAATGGATGAAGGAAGCAAGTTTCTCATTAAAGAGTTACTGTAGATACCTCAGAGAAATGTAATTAACAACCTGTTCCTTCTGTTTGATCAAAATACAAATGTTATTACATCATTATTTAAATAAAGGTCAAAGGAGTGGTGTTGTGGCCTAGAGGTGGAGCTCTTGCCTCACAAGGCTGAGAGTTTGGTCCTAGGTAGAGGCAGATATTTCTCTCTGAGCACACTGAGAATATATTTGCTGAACAAAACTCCGCATTGGCGACAGGAAGGGCATCCGGCCATTAAAACACTCTGCTAGCTCCATTCAGTTGCCCAGACTCCACCCCGCAAGGGATTATGGGGTCATTAAATGAAGATGATTTAAATAAAGGTCAAAATGTTCATCACAGTAATTTTGCTAATGTAGATATTCTTTTCTCACTGGGATTTGGTCAAAAGAATTGTATAAGCCATTTCTACAATCTCACTGTAGGAAATTTGGAACACTGCCTTTGCAAAATCTCATCCAATACTTCCTTCCCCTGTTGGGATTTGGTAAATGAACTGTGCCTGTCTTCTCTGCTACAAATTAAAACATGAAAAATAAATCTTGCTTGCCCAATGAATGACTGTAATAGATACTTGTATTAAAGACATGCAATGTTGTAAGAATCCCATTTTCATTTTTATATGTTATTTTGTAGAGACTAACTTTCCCAGAAGAACCAATGAGCCATTTCTTGCTAGAGAATCATACTTATAAAAGCTTTTGTTTTGCATCTCTAATATATGGTAACACATTTCTCAATCTAGACTAATAGTACAACTGGTCAGGAGTAAGCAGATTTCTGAACCATAACTCCTACTAATCTTGGCCTCTAGCAATGTTTTCAGAGCTGATAGGATTTGAAGTTGAAACCATAAGGAGACCCATCTGCTGCTCCCTACTATTGGCAAAATCAATTAGGTAACTTCTTCATTTAAGTTAGTATTAGTCACCATAACTAAAATCTGAAAAAGTATATTAAAGTGGCATGAGAAGACTATTTGCTACAAATGGATTTTGTAAAATTGAATGACAAATTACCAAAGGCAAGCACATACAGCATAATACACAATGCCTAAATTAATTACATTTTCAAGCTACAGCTAGTCAAGATGATCTGAATACTTACCAGATGAGAATTGTCCTTAACTTCTTGTACTTGCTGTACCTGCCATTCAGCCACAACTTTAGTGTCCTGATCAGAAGTCATGAGCTGCCTGTTTTTTGGCTCCTCAAAGAGAAATATATGGATCACCTAAGCTGGAAAAAAAATCACAAAAACCCCATAATTTATATTCTATACCAGTGATGGCTAACCTTTTCATCATTGTGTGCCAAAAGTGCGCATGCGTGCCTGCACCCATAATGCAATGTGCGCATGCTCCCCTGCCCCCTGCGCATGTGACCCCGCACACTCCCCCACCCCCCTGTGCATGCACGCATGTCTCTTGCATGCGCCCTGCCCCCCACGCATGCATGGCAGATACCCGACAATTAGCTGACTGGCAGGAGGCGCACGCACATGCGCAGTGGAACTGAGCTGGGGTGACAGATCGCGTGCCAGCAGAGATGGCTTTGTGTGCCACTTCCGGCACACGTGCCATAGATTTGCCATCACGGTTCTATACAGATGATAGTAGTAAGCAGACCCCATAACAATGAATAATTGATATTATACCTAAACGTAGTGTTTATGAAAAACAACTGATTTGTATATCTTATGAAAAAACATTCAATCCTCTTCTATCTCATCGGCAGAAACACTTATTTTTCCAATACATAATTTTTAACATGCTGAAAAGTCACTTCATTTAGCACATGTTGCATTAATTCAGAGGATGTCAGACATAGCTTGGGCAGAATAGTTTAATATTGTAGTAACCGGCAGCTTGATCTTCTTAGTTGTGGGTGGCTAAATTTTTTTTTTTAAATAAATTTTTATTGAACAAAAACTTTAAAAACAATGAACGTGATGTAATCGTCCTGACAAACCTATTTGTCATACATATCTATGTGGACAAGAATATAATACAAATTTACATAATACAGTATATACATGTATACATTACAACAATTTTCCATATTTTTAATCTACTACCTTAACATCCTTATCTTATTTTAATTTTAAAGTCCTTCCTTTTTCCCCACCATTGGTTAAATTTGTCCCATACTTTATAGTATTCAGTCTCATCCTTACTTTTTAATTCCAAAGTTAATTTATCGATTTCGGCACATGTCCATATCTTTTTAATTATCTTGGTTTCATCAGGAATTTCCTTAACTTTCTACTTTTGAGCATAAACTAATCTTGCTGCCGTGATCACGTATTATGATGATCATGTATTATTAGATACATTAGTTCCTTATTGTATCTTTCTGTATTGATTCCCAGCAGAAAAAATTCCGGTTTATACTCAAGTTTAACCTCACCCATTTCTTCTAACCAACTCTGAATTTTATGCCAAAATTCCTGGGCTTTCTTACAAGCCCACCATGTATGATAATATGATCCGTTTTCCTGGGAGCATTTCCAACGAATAGGGAATAAATTTGGATACATTTTAGCTAATTTTGTTGGTGGGATGTGCCACCTGTAAAACATTTTGTATAAATTTTCTTTATACGATGTGGCCAATGTTGTTTTTTTATTTCTCTCCCATAAGATTTGCCATTTGTCCAAATTAATACCATATCCAATATCTTTTGCCCAAACCAACATTGTTTTTTACTTGTTCCTCCTCTAATTTATATTCCAATAAAAGTCTGTAAATTTTCCTTATCAATTTATCATCTGCTCCCAGTAATATTTCATCTAATTTCATTTTCTATCTGCTAATTCCCTGTTCTTTCATATATTTTCTATATCATGATTGAACTTGTAACTAAGCCCACCATTCCAGATCCACCCCTTGTTCTTTTAATTCTTGCTTGATTTCAATACTCCTGTCTCGTTTAGAATGTCTTTATATGTAATAATTTTCCCTTGGCCAAGCAGATTTGGATATACTAAAGCTTCCAGTGTAGATAACCATATTGGTGCATCTATCTATCTATCTATCTATCTATCTATCTATCTATCTATCTATCTTTGGTTATTAGGGTTTTCTCCTGCGTAAGATTGGCAGTATCTAGGCAACGTTTCGATGAAGTCTCATTCATCATCTTCAGGCTTGTGTCTTCGGCTCTGTGCTTCTCAGAGTGAGCT